AATTATATGATATTTTTTATTTTAATATAATGATAGCGTCATATGGACGTAAAATGATAAATAATAATTTATCGATAATTTATCATAAAAATTTATTTGATTTAAAATAAAAATATAAAAATATAATAAAATAATATAAATTTTAATTAATTTAAAAAAATTGTTAAATATTGTATCTTGAATTTAATGGATCATACTTCGGATAACCAAAAGAAACAGGGCAATTTGAGTGGATAAAATCATTAAACAATTTCCATTTTCTGTCCTGTAATGGGCCCCGAAAGCTACTCCAATAAAACAATTTCTCGGAAGCCCCCTTTCCCTTGACGGGGCTTTGGGCTTGACTATTCTATCCCCCTGTAGTCTGCGGTCTCTGTCTTCCTTCTTTGCTTTTATATATATATCCCTCTCTTTTAAGCCTTTCGTCCCTGTTTCTTTTGTTTTTCTCTTTGGAAATGGAAAATAAACGCAGACAATAACTGCCATGAGCGACTTCCTCCACGAACTTTCTGTTTCCTTTTTCTAAAAGGGCTGCCCCTTAACGAAACTTCTCCTTAATTCCGTTGTTTTAGACCCTCTCTCTCGTTACTGATAATCGTTTTTATGTCTTTATGAGACAACAAACAAAACGGCTGCTGCTCTGTTTTTTTTTCCTCTGTTCCTGGTTTAGTTGGTCTGAAAGTCTCTGAACTTGGAAGGTTTTGATCAGGGGAATTATTACAGTTTACAGACCCCTCTTCATAAATGGAAAGAACCTTAATCCTTCTTGAGCCTTGACTTTGTTAAGGTGAGTCTTTCATTGTTTTGTATTTTTTTATTTTGAGCGGAAAGCAAAGTAACAACGACCGTTGTTGTTACTCTTTTTGGTCTCTCTATGCAAGATTGATGATCTTTGTTTTCGTGGTCTTATTGGGTTTTCAAGTTTTCCTCATTTTTTTTTTGAAGGAACATGAAAATAGTTTCATTTTTTATGTAACTTATTTATACTGAACGTATAATTAATGCCCATGGTTTTGATTTCTGCAACTTTTACTTTCTTCCTCTCAAAATGCTAAGGAAAAAAGAGAGAACCAAATTAAAAAAAAAAAAAAGACCATAGTGTTAACGTGGTGTACACGCTGACCAAAAAGACCAAAAATTTGTGTCAGGTATAAGGTAGATAACGATCGTGGCATATGGTGAAGTTTATGGTCTTACTTAAATGATTTTCTAGATGAGCCATTCCTTACTCAATACAGACGAAAACTTACTTTTCGTTATAAGGCTTGGCATGTATTTATTAGTATTATTTATCTTCTAAGTTATTAAGTTGGTTTCATATCTTGCTTGAGGGGATTGCTAATACGAATTTGGCAGGGCCTGGATTTTAAACGGAGTTGAACAACTCTCAAGGTTGAACCCTTTTTAGCATTTGAAACTATCGGAGAACTTGGATGAAGTCATGAATTTCCGCCGAAACAAATTTGTAAGGTTGGTCTTTGTAATAATGCCTAAACAGTTCCCATTTTGTTCGGTCCAATTCTAAGTACATAAGACAAACCTTAGCATGAAATCATGAACAGTAGTCAACTGTAACGCTTGTTTGGGAAAGTGTTGATAATTGTTCACAATGCTAGTAGGTCAATTACACGGATGCTAGGCACTAGAATGCAAGCAGGGTAATTACTTTCATTAACTATTGGAAGAAAAGTTTATAGGCTGGTCTTGATTGTCACTTTTTCTTGAATACTCTCCTGGGGATTTGATAAAGAAGCAGTCTGACTTTGTTTTCATTGAGACTATGGTTTTTATGATATCCAATTGGATTGATTTGATTCTACTCAGGTTTCAAGATTGGAGTTCAGATGATGGATCATTTGCAGTGAAAGTTAGACCATCATTCAATGCTGTTGTGGGCGGTCTCCGGAGAGGATTTGAGAAGGGTTTTGAAAGGATTAGAAGCTTGAAAAAACCGAAAAGCTTTCGTTCTTGGGGTAATAAACCAACAAAAGAGAAGGCATTGGGTTCCAGGAAGAGTATTCTTAATCCACAGGGGCGATTTCTTCAGACCTGGAATAAAATATTTCTATTATCCTGTACAATTGCGCTGGCCCTGGATCCCTTGTTTTTTTACATCCCTGTGATGGATGGTCAACGGAAATGCCTTAACTTAGATGAAAAATTGGAAATTACTGCTTGCGTCCTCCGAACATTCATGGATGCCTTCTATGTACTTCACATAATCTTTCAATTCCGCACTGCGTTTATTGCCCCTTCTTCTCGGGTGTTTGGTAGGGGTGAGTTGATTGAGGATCGTTGGGCCATAGCAAAGAGGTACTTGTCCAAGGACTTCATCATTGATATTCTGGCAATTCTTCCATTCCCACAGGTATTTAAATGCACTTTCTTGATCCAGCTTAAAGTTACACTTGCATTCTAAATCCATGACTTAATTCATTCATGCCAAATGACAACAGGTAATTAAAGCGTTCAGTTTGAAAGATGATGTTAGTTCTGTTGTTTAACACTTGTGTTTGTTTTGCTAAGATGGTGATCTTGATCATAATTCCTACATTAAAAGGCCCGGTTTCATTGGTCACGAAGGAGTGGTTGAAGTACATTATTTTCTGCCAATATGTTCCAAGAATCCTTCGAATTTTACCTCTTTACAAAGAAGTTACAAGAACTTCTGGCTTGCTTACTGAAACAGCATGGGCTGGAGCTGCTTTGAATCTCTTCCTCTACATGCTAGCCAGTCATGTAGGTTTAATTTGGTACAATGTATGAATCATTTATACATTATCCTAAGGAATTTTCTCATATTCTGATCTTTAATACAACATACCAGTTTTTTGGGGCCTTGTGGTACTTGATCTCAGTAGAACGAGAAGACAGGTGCTGGCGCGATGCTATCCCCAGTGGTGAAAGAGGTGCATTGTATTGTGAAGAGAATTTAGAAATAAACGACACATTAGTAAGTATGCTGAATACATCATGCCCTTTTATCAACCCTGATGACATAAAGGATCCGAAGGAATTCAACTTCGGGATATTCTTCGATGCACTTGAGTCAGGTGTGGTGGAAACCTGGGATTTTCCAGAAAAATTCTTTTACTGCTTTTGGTGGGGTTTGCGGAATCTAAGGTTTGTACACGATAACCCTCTACCCTAGTTCTTTTTGAGTGACTCATTATTACTTGGAGATTACTCTTCCCTTTTTCCTTCTTAGTTCTCTAGGCCAAAATCTCAAAACAAGCACTTTTGTGGGGGAGATAATCTTTGCTATCTTCATTTCCATCGCTGGACTGATTCTGTTTTCACTGCTTATTGGCAATATGCAGGTACTTCTTGATTCTTCTTCATTGGTACAATTTAATGTTTCCATTAATGATTGAACTCTTTCACAGTCCCTCAACATTACTTGTTCTGTTTCCACAGAAATATCTGCAGTCGACAGGAGTCAGAATAGAGGAGATGAGAGTGAAAAGGCAAGATTCAGAACAATGGATGTCCCATCGAATGCTTCCTAAGAGCCTGAGGGAACGCATCAGGCGTCACGAACAGTATAAATGGCAAGAGACCAGAGGGGTTGTGGAAGAGACTCTGATTAATAACCTTCCTAAAGATCTCAGGAGGGATATAAAGAGGCATCTTTGCTTGGACCTTCTCAAGAGAGTGAGTGCTTTCCTAAAAGCTTCAACCTTAATAAACTGTATTATGTCAAAGGTTAAGCTGTAGTTTCTTTAAATTCTTGCTTTAGGTGCCAATGTTTGAGAAAATGGATGAGCGACTATTAGATGCTATGTGTGATCGTCTCAAGCCGGCGCTTTACACTGACAAGAGCTACATTGTCCGAGAGGGGGATCCCGTAGAGGAGATGCTATTTATCATCCGAGGAAACCTAGTAAGTACGACCACCAATGGTGGAAGAACTGGCTTCTTCAATGCTGTTCATCTCAAGGCCGGTGACTTTTGTGGAGATGATCTTCTTACCTGGGCCTTGGATATCCAGTCCTCTTCCAATCTACCTATCTCGACTAGAACTGTGCAGGCCCTGAAAGAAGTGGAAGCTTTTGCTTTAATGGCAGATGACTTGAAGTTTGTGGCCTCCCAGTTTCGACGCCTTCACAGCAAGCAGTTCCAGCACACTTTCAAGTAAGTCCAGAAACAAAAACTTATCTTTCACTGGTATCCGAAGACTTCCTCTTTCTTTCTTGCTTATATCAAATGCTTCATTCTACCAGGTTCTACTCGGTGCAGTGGCAGACATGGGCAGCATCTTTTATTCAGGCAGCTTGGCGCCGACACTGCAAGAGGAAGCTTGTTAAGTCCTTACGTGAAGCAGAGGATCAGCTGCAAAACGCTTTGGCAAAAGAGTCTGGAACCTCGCCCAGCCTTGGTGCCACTCTGTATGCATCAAAATTTGCTGCCAATGCATTACGAATCTTGCGGCACAGCAGTTCACAAACTACCAGATTGCCTCAAAGATTACCACCGCTACTGCCTCAAAAGCCGGCCGAGCCTGATTTTACTGCTGAATATCGCTAAGTTTGAGTTTTGATCTTATATTCCAGTAATTTTGGAAGCAATTACTGTTTCCAATGCATAAAGCTTATTCAAAACAGACATACCCATAGATTTTCTTCATTTCAAAATTTTTCCGAAGGAATTAAAGTTACTGTAAAGTTTTCTGTACGGTATGTATATAGTACAAGCTTGCTCAAAGTCAGTCCAGAAGTAGAAGTGTAGTTTTACAGTACTAACAGCGACTTATCTATCCAAAATTTGAATGGGAAAAGACACTCATGGCGAGATCACCACTCGGAAAATCAACTGCCATGGACAGACCTTGAGTTGTTTACTTTTCAGCCTACTGCATAAACTGGTGCAATTTATCTTCAACACCTTGGTTCCAACCTAATGGAGGAATTGTTTAGCATTTTGGAATCATGTATCCTCCTTAAATGCCAAACAACCACAAATTTAAATTGTTAGGTAGGGGTCAAAATAGGGTTATTCCATATTGAAGGTAATAATTATTTAAAGATAGATGATTTCGTGAATAAATTATGATTTCCTTCTTCTCTAATTCTCTATGGCATGTCGACCCATGAGGTAGCCCTTCAAGAGCTTCTCAGACTGAAATATTCTCTAATCAAGTCAGCAAGTCCTCGAAACAAAAATGGAGCTACTTTTAAATTACCAAGCCTGATTAACTCAATAATTCCCATAGGCTGGAGAAGCAGAACGATACTTGGCCAAACAAGTGAGCAAACTAGGGGGTCTAGCACAAGGAGTTTAGTTCTTGCTTTTCTTTCTTCCTCTCACTCCTTTTCGTTGACGTCTCTGACTAACAACTGAAGGAGGAACACTTATCTCTGTGAACTTTGTTGTCTTAGGTGACGAAGATTCTGTTTTAACTGCAGTGTGCCTCTTCGGTTCTGAGAACAACGAAAATTCAGGTTGTGGTGCAGTCTCAGCTGATGTAGGTACATCAGGAAGGCCTAATAATTTCTTCACTTCTGGGCGTCTAATTACTGAATTAAGTAAAGACAAACAGTTGGTTAGATGTAACTGAGCTCAATAGATCCCATGGAAAATAAAAAAAAGGACATATTTTTTAAAGTTAACTGCAATTTTTCATTGCGTCATCTGACAAAACCAAATTCCCTGCATTCTACGTCCAGGAAGCTGTCAGAGATTGATCCATTGAATAATGTAACAATCAAGACATTACTGTCTCTGAGATTGAAGGACTCACCTAAGCCATATGCAAGTGAAAACAAGTTGGAGGTGAACGAACAACAGAACGATGCCTGAGAAGATGAAGTTTCAGTCAATGAATAATTCATACAATTTCAATTCCAAACCTACATGATGTGCAATTGACCTCAACGGAAGCAAAACAGTCAAATACCCACAAGAAATAAACGAGTTACTAGTAATACTATCTTTTACCAGTGTTCCATATATAAGTATATATTTGTGTCTATTATATACTCTCCCAATCAAAGTTCTTTAATTAGAGACAGGAACTTTTGGCAAATCCTTATCCCCCAAAATTGTAGTTGGAGGAAAATACTAAGGCTAAGAGTTTCTGCTGCTTTACTCAATAAACATGAGATTGATGATGGAAGTAATACTTTCTTTTGGTTTGACAATTGGCATCCATGTGGCCCTTTCTTACAATATTCTTCTCAGATGATTTCTGGACTTCACAAACAGTTGTAAGTGGCTGCTGTTATTAATGACAATGAATGGCACTGGCCTCAGTCAAGATCCCAGGCCTTTTTGGACATTAAATCAGCTGTAGATGGCACTATAGTCCCCAACTAAAAAGGTTGATTCTCCGTTTGGCTGCCTAACGGATCTAGTAAATGTATAGTGATTGACAGATGGAATTTTCTCATGCACACGCAAGCTAAGGTTGCCTGACATAGATGGACATGGTAAATCCTTTACACCCTCCTAAACATGCTTTAATAGCGTGGCTTTGTATACTTAACAAACTCCCCGCTTTGTTAAGGGTGCAAAATTCGGGAATTGCTTTCAAGTCTTATTCTTGTTATTTCCTTGGTAATGCTGATGAGTCTAAGGATCACATCTTCTTTACAAGTCCTTCTACTAAGGAAGTCTAGACAGCTATCTTACAGAGGTCACAGGTTCAAGGAGCAGCTGGAGATTGGGATTTTGAGTTGCAACAGGCTATAGTGAATCTGATGGACAGTCTTCAGCAATACAGGTTTTCAACTTGGCATGGTCTGCTTATATCTACACTATTTGTTGAGAGTGGAACTGTAGAAAACATGGTACTTCACCAAGTTCTATCAGCAGACTAGTGTTTTAGAGGATGTTTGTTTAAGAATTTGTGGCCAGCCTGCTTACTATCTTCAACAAATTCTGATTTTTATCATCATTGGGGATTTTGATAATATCATAATCCTTTCTTTTGTTTGTATGCATTATGTTGCAAACTTTGTTACCTTGTAGCAGGATTTCTCCTGCTCCTTTGGATAAATAAAATTGTTAATTATCCAAAAGAGAATGTTTTTGAGAAACTTCAAAATACCCATCAATAATGGTCTTAATTTTAACTTCCCTATTAACCACCAAGAAGATTCAAGACTTCAAATTCAACACACCTGTTTCTAGGTTATGCTGTTTGGGATGTCTTTGGAAGGAAATGATTGTATAAATTCAAATTACTTATTTATTGGGAACTGCTTATCCAGAAGAGAAAATTTGATTCCACATGGCACTAACAGATTATCTAAATAGCTCTACTGAAAGCATGTTCAACCATATAAATACGCCAAAGTTATCCACTTGCTGCAACCCAAGACATGATTTGACAAAGTTTGATTGCAAGATGGATCATGGAAAATGCAAACCAGCTGGGAGGTTAATATAAACATAATGAAGCACAAGAATATGGAATTCCCTTATTGTAGATCCTACATTTTATGCACATTGATTTTGATAGTTTATGTACCCTAGGAAAAGTCACCATGACTGGGATTGATACAGCAACAAAAATTCTCAAAAGCTTTTTCATGTTGCCAGCTACTGGTTCCCTTCCGGCCCCCCCTGCATATTGCACTGAGGAAAGCCAAGGGTTAAGGGTTAATATGGCACAATCTACAAGAAACATTACAATCACAAGACAGAAAGTGAAAATTAATGAGACTCAAAATTCCACATTACAAAGTTGCAGTACCTCATCTGAGGAAACAAAATCCTACGTCCACTGTAATCCATGAAGTCAATGTTGTAAGAACAGGTAAGATGAATAAGCTATCTGGAGTTGTGAGATCCACAAACCATAGAGCTCCGCCACTTTTGAATGATGGAACTTTTTCAGCCATGTCTCTAATCAATAGACATCAATGTCAGTGAATAGAAAAATCAGTCATAAAAATTACTTTCTAGCAAGGAGAAAGCTGATGAACTTGGAAGCTTGAACAAAAAGTTAGATTGGATAATAAAACAAATTAGATTTATATGTTACAGCCATGAAAAAGCTGAAGAAGATTGGACCTTGAATGATAAGTCCTTTGAATGGAGTAAATGGAGTGACTCCATACCTAAGAATTCAAATCATAATAAGAGAACAAAATGAAAATTACTATATCAATGTGTTGAAAGGAGACAATCCGCATGCAGAACTTACTGCAGGATCCAGTAGACAAGAATAAAAGGCGGACTTTCATTAATGCAGCAAATATATGCCTTGGATGTTATCCCTGTCAGACACAGTGAATAGTTACTTACTCATCAAATAGTGCCTTCCTTCGTTTTAGGCCTTCAGCTGAAGCCTCATGATCCACAGCCTGGAAGACAACATGTACTAATAACCTGTAAGCAATAGCTCCTTTTGATCTTTAATCTGGTATCTTATTTAATAAGAAATAGTAGAATCAAAACATTTTGCATGCATGGTGGGCCATATGATTGCCTTGTAGAGAGGTGAACTCTAAAGCATCATTAAGAAAAGCATCTATGGGAGTTATGTAGTCCAAAGAAAAGGTGTCCCTGACACAACAGGCTAAATAAATTAAAATCTCACCTTATCCTGCGTCTGTTGCCTTAATTCCTTTAAACGTGGCCTCATCAACTGTATGACACTAAAATAAATCAATAAAATGGCATAAAATGTGGATGACAATTATTTAACAGAATGCAAATCAATAAAATAAATTGTATGTGAACAAGAAGAAAAAAATGGTGAATGAAAATCTGGAGACAACTGAGACCTGAAACCGAGGAGCCAAATGAAATAGGTTGCTTACAAGGTTGACCTTTTCATGTCGGTATAATATTAAATTCACATCATTTCCAGGAGTTCCTACTCATTAAATTTTCATCTCAACTTAAGCATTCACAAATGTTTCAATTGTAAGCCAAGTATTATGGAAAAATTGATTTTTTTAAAAAAAAGTATTATAGAAAAATTTATTAAGGCATGCACAGTCACCAAAAGGAAGAAGGCAATGCTTCACCCCTCCCCACAGGAGAAAATTTGAAAAAGAATGAAAGAAAGAAAAATGGAAAACTAACATTAAGTTTTGAAGTAGCCTAGAGTTGGTTTACAAGAAATGGAACTGTAGCCCCTCAGATCAGCAAAGTTGTTAAAGCCATAGTTGCCCACCTGGAAGCCATAAACATTTACTTTCAATAATAAACCAATGCATGTGTCGTACTGCTAAACCCAAGCAGCACAAAGCAACTATGACCAAATGTGCATTTCATCCTTTCCAGAATCTCTATGACATGAAAAAGCATAGCTGCCAATGTCTAAGCCAAGCTTTTTCGCGATGAAGAGATATCTTTCAAATCCCACAAACAGAACTCCCCATAAACCCCAACCACACCCACAAAATAATAATAATAATAATAATGATGACTCAATAACTCGTAGGAAATACAAATAAACGCCGATACCAATTTAGCCCAGTCTAAGAATGCACAGTATCCATCAAGTACTGCAAGGCAACAACAGGATAAGAAGAATCTGCAGCTGCAACAGCCACCTCACTCATTCCAGGGGCTTGGGAGGCCAGTGCATCCACAGTCCTCTCTCTGACAGCCTCCGCAACGTAACTAACATCATCAATCCTCTCAGATCCTTCTCCAGTTGTGCTAGACATAAATCTACATAAGGGCAATCGTACTCCAATCGGCTAAGGAAATAATGAAGATGCCCTGTCTTCAGATAGAGAACAACCAAGGCCATTGATTGCATTGGATGAACCATGAAACAAAATTTTACGAATAGCAGACTGCGATCGACTTAAATTTAGAGGAGGTGATTTAGAATTATTATCATTGTTAGTATGTAGGATATGGCTAAATGATGGGTTCAAGCGTCTACTAAGAAGGGTAGCTCTTGAGGATATGCTACGCCTAAAAGCCATCTCTAAAAGGCAATTTATGCTCAGAAAACAAGAAAGAATATGTAAATTCCAAATGGAAATTGCAAGCTAAGTGCAAACTTAACAACTAAATGACACGAAATAATCAGAAGTTCAGATGATTAAACTGAGACTGTGCGATCAAGAAAGAAGGGACCATGCTTTAAGTTTTGAAGCTCGTTGCTTCATTTAGAATTTTTTTTTAAAAAAGAAAAACCCAAAACTATTAATGAAACATTTAACCCTCAAATTCCCAAAGTCCTAGTCAATTGAAGAGAAAAAAAATAAAAAAGAAAAAAAGAGCAGTGAGAAAGCATAATTTCACTATCTTTTTGGTGGCTGAGAAAATCGAAGAAAACAAGATTTTTTTTTTTATAAAAAAAAACATCATCGGATTCAAAATGACGTTAATTTCAACTAAAGCAAGCAAAATGATCGGATGCTACTGCAGTAGTCTTCCATTTCCCCATGGTCTCAAACGACATAAAAAATCATAAAGACTAGTATTTTTCCACTACTTTCTTACGTTTTCCTACTAACCAACCAACCAAAGGCATAACGATAACCAACCACTGTAACTCTTTTGTGCTTCACAGACGAGAAAGTCCTCTTCCTCGTCAACTTCTGTGGCGGTAAAAGTTTTTCAGCATTCAAGCCATCCCAAACGCACCGTTTTGAGAGACAAATTTTAAAAAGTCTTCCATCGTGTGTAAAACATTTTTGTCTTCTTAATGGGCTTTGGGCTTTTGGGTCCTTTCCCTTTGATCTGATTTTTCTCCTTGGCTAGTGGTTATTGTATCTCTTTTCTACGATTTGGGCTTTGAGCCCATGGCAAAGTAAACGATCCATGGTTCACCACTTCACTGCATGGATTTTTTTTCCTCTGTTTTTCTTGATTTTGGTAGTATCCTCTTCATGTGGCTAAAAAGATACCAACACCTTTACAAGTCTAGATGTAATACTTTTGCCACTTGAGAGTAGAAAATAACTCTCCTTTTATATAGTATAATTAGCTATAATGATTTATGACCGATCAATTTTTTAGATACTTAATAAAATAGATAAATTTAAACAAATTTAATAAACGAGACGATCATAAAAATATATAATTAAAACTTATTATTCATTAACATATGAAATATGTCGTATAACATACTACAAAGACGATCCATTCATCTGGATATAATTTATTTGGTATACTCTTATTTTGACATTTCCAGCTCTTAACTCTTTGCTAGCGTGGCTACTCAAAAGACTTTTTGTATAACACTAGAGAGCCCTGCAAGAAAACACTTGAAATCAATGAAATATTCATAAAATGAAAGATGGAGAAATTAAGGAAGAGATGAGTACTTGGAACAATCTGTTTGGTCAGTAATTGGAGGAATATTAATATCAACATTGCATTTCTTGGCAATTAGAGGGACTCGGGAGGCGTCATAAGAGCCAACTTTTCCTAATGCTGTTTTAAGACACTCGCAGACTGCTTGTCGATCATTTTTGGTCCTTGTTTCTTTAGCAAGTTCTCCAGCACCGTCACAACATGCCCGGGATGGGTCTGCACCACCTTTGCCTTTCAGGAAGTCGAGGCACGGGGCTACTGCTTTGGTAACATCAGCGCATGAAGGTGCAAGTAGTGAAGTTTCTGCAGTAGCCAAGGCTGATAACATAAGTAAAACAAGCATGGCTAGAAACTTGATTGAGACAGCCATGGTGGCCTATGAGTTTGTTCCTAAATGTGTTTCTCCTGCTCTTTGAAGGATGAGGACGTAAAGCATATATAGTGCCTTTACGGCAGTTTGTTTGGGTAAGTTTTCATTGTTAGTTGCCATGCAACTCGCATGAGTTTGGAGCTGATGCCTGTTCCTTGACCTATTAGAATAAGCAACGAAGTCACGTGAATGGGCCAGGCACTTCACTGCCATTGTTTCAACCTCCTGTTCCTCTTCAAGCCTGAAAATATTATTTATTTTTTGGCCAAGACTAAATGACAAAATTAATTAGTTGGTAAAAACAATCTATAAAAAAATATCACTATGACTTTTATTTGTCCTTGCAAAGTTCAATTATCTTTATTATCCAACACCGTCATATATATATCAAACTCTTCAGATTGATGGGGTTTGGATGACACATGAAACAACTTTTTAAGGTTAAGCCAATAGTCCAGTTTCGTGGTATTGTCCCCTTTAACCCATTCAATGGAGAATGCCAAGATCAGTTGAACACATAAAGAAAACATGGGAACTTTATGTTCAGACTAAAATCGTGTAAACAGGACCGTTGCACGCCACCTTTAAAATATTTCAAACTATGAATTACTGAACAAAATCTTTAAAGCACCAAATGTGTTCTATCATACAAGTAATGCTGCACGTTCACGAAACTGATCCGTGTGTCTGACCCTATTTACATAATGGTATGTAAAATGTACTCCACTATCTTGAATTTGATGGCTTTCGAGCTACATATTTGGGATCAGGACCACGCCTTGTATATAAAGAGCCCGCAGCTGAAACTTCAGTAGCCGAAGAAACTATGGCAGACAGGGGCTGGAAATTGGTGCTTCCAATAAACCAGTAGAGAGCCCACTTCAGATTGCAGAGGGTATACTTCAGAGCTTTGGTCCAATTCTCTTGCTTATTGAAGCTTTGTGTGATGGAGTAGTTTTCCACTTTGTCATTCTCAATCCTGTAAGATGCGATGACTTAGGAAAATGAAGCGAAAAGGGAAATATGTTCACACAATATACTCAGAGTTTGGATCTACTCTATCTATTTAAAACCACCAAAATAGCATTGATATTCAGATACGTAAAAGACTAAAAAGTACTATTCTGCACAGAAAAGAAATCTCACTTATAGGGCAAGTTGAAGCGTTTCTCAGGTGGAATGTTGTTTTCTTGATCCTTGGAATTTGCAAACTCAGCAAAGTCCTTAAGGCATGTCAAGAATAGTGTCATTGCTTTGTCGTACCTTGTACTCCAGAACAAGTTCACTGGACCAAACCTAAAGACATTTATGTCAAATGAAACACTGCAAGCAACTCCAAACATACAACAAGCAAGATCCATTGAAACGTTTAAAGAGGACATTTCCCAGGATTGCTAATGCATCAGTTATATGTCAAAAATAATACATTAGAATACCAATTACAACCACGCAGGCATTTAAGTATTTTCTATTGAATGAATCAAATAATATCAGATCAAACCCAGCTTTATGCATTATGTAATATGAGAATACAGCTAGCCTTTCAGGTGTATATGTTTGCATTTTAATATTCCAAATAAAATAATTTAGAAAGTCCAAAGTTGATACTTACAACTCATATGTATTGTTGTTGCTGTCCTTTATCCGAGGGTAGCTTCCCATGGGAATTATTTTTATCCGATAGCTGATTCACTAATTAAGGATACATCACATGCCACTTTGTGAACAGATTTAAGCATGAAAGGTAACAAAGTTCCCTGTAGAGACTGCACATTTTAATTATTGTTTTACCTTACACTGGCAGAATACATACAGATGACAGCATAAGAAAACAAGGGTTGACTATACTTAACTTCAATAATTACACACACACAAATGTAAATATGACTTTTTGTGAAAAAACTCCATAGACTAACACTCATTAGAAAGGATACTGAAACTTTGGCCAGAAATATTGACACATTGTATGAAGAAGGAGACAAGCTTGGCCCCAGGCAGCATTTATTTCATCCCACTCAACCTAAACCAACAGCACCAAATATCAGCCACTATTAATTATCAACAAAAACAATTTTCTATATGGAAAATGATGCCAATTTTCTTACTGGAATTTTGGGCAGTCGTCCAAGACGAAAATTGTTTATAGTTCCAAATTCTCCATCATGCCAGATTGGGAAAGCATCGTTGAGCACATTACTTCGCTTTAACAACTCTAAATGTGCTTGTGAAACTTCAGTCTTCGCCAAGATTGCATCTCTCTCTTCCTGTTAAGCAGAAACATTTTGTTCTTGTAAGAAGGCAGCAAAAGAGCGTTTTTAGTTATTTTAAGAAAACAATTGTTTGCAATTATCTATCCAATTTACTGCTTACAGCTATTTAGGTAACACTTTAGTGTAGACAAAAATTTGATCCAATAGCATATTGTTCAAAAACAACAATAGTAATGTTGACATTTGAGAAACATTTTTCAAGCATAAGAAATCTCTGAGCCATTTTGGACTGCTTCATTGACTAATAGTACATGGAAGGAAAAAAATTCAAGAGAAGGCATCTACACCAAACCTGATGTGCAATTAATTGAAACTGAAAGTTGTTAAACTCCTGCCAATACCTGTGACACATTGATTTCGACAAACATGAGGAGATAATACTTTAAAATCGCCAGCTATATACGATTCAAAGTGTGCTCTGCATTCTGGTTTAAGAAATAGTGGGGTTGCAGAGGGAGGAAAAGGAAAAACAGTGAAAAAAAGGCATTGTACGCTTCAATTTTATCTGAGAAAGCATACGAAGGATCTAGAAATAGAAGAAGAAACTTACCTCTCCTCCAATTCTTTAACGCGGTTTGATTTGTGCTCTAATTCTTTTAGTTCAGCATTTACTTCTGCATTCTGTTTTTCTATTTCTTCAATTGCTGCTTCAAGTTTTCTTTCTTCTTCCTCAATCTTGCAGAATGAACAGATAATCAAATATGCATTTACCTCCAAAAATTCACTGGATGCTTATATTAATTATAAGGAATAATCACTTAGTAGTATCCTGGTTTAAAATCCATTAGTCCTTCAGTAGTGTACTGCAGGTTAAATTATGGAATTTTTTTTTTTTTTGATGGAAATAGAAAAGTCTAATATAAGGAAATGGTTAGTCAACCATGCATTTCCAAAATTTGTAGAGATTATTTTGCACATTGGTCATAGCAGTTGATAGTTACACTGAATCGATACCCTGCTTTAAAACCGAAAATTTATTCACATTTGTGAACGAAACCCTCCCTCATCCAAATGTGGAACTAAAACCTGGAGCGTCCAAACCTCAACAAAAAGATTAAATGCCCTCAATGATTCACTAATAGATCAAACACTACCATAAGAACCAAAATTTTACTGTTTTATAAACAAGTTTACTCAGAAGCTGCCAAACAATTACCTTTAATTTCTCCTTACAAAAATCAGCCTCACTGAGAATTTCTTGTGGCTCCCCCTCCAAGCGCTGAAGACAGGCTTCATATGCTTCAATGTCCCTAGTCACATCCTCAACCTCCTTGTCAAGTTTGTCAGACAACACCCTCATGCATTCAAGGCATAATGGTTGCTCAACCTAAAAACGCCCAAGAAAGTGGAATCAAATTTAGATACTCTATACAACAATGAAGCACTGAATAAAAAAGCCAGAAAATGAGCGATACCTGTGTCTGAGTCGTGGCAATCTCAAATGCGCATTTCAGGACGGTAATAGTCGAGTGAAATCCAGAGTTGTTCGGCTGCAAAGGACTGTTTGGTCCACCTTCTGACAATGGTAAATGTGCCCCACCTCCATCAGAAGCAGACTCCGACTTATACACCACCACAAATGATTCTTCCATAGCCTTCCCAGTGTGGCCAGCATCAGGCTGACCAGGCCCACCACGAGGACGGGGAGGGATCCCTTGTGCTTGGGGCTTTTGCTTTGGCAGCACAACAAAAGAGTTGTCCATACGTGTTGAACCCAGCACACTGCTAGCTCCATGAATTAAAGACCCCTGCATTGCTGCATTTTTGTTCATAGAGACCAAAATTTTTAGCACAAAACAGGTTTAAATATTGCAATTGTAGACTGGTTAAGCAGCCAAAATATGGTTAAAAAATTTAATAATCCGCAAAGTTGGTCTTTATTCCAACTCAAATTACATGCAGATAATAAACCAATCCCTAAATTATAAAATTTGCAACTTTACTCCAAACTTGATGTTTAAAAATACAGTATTTATTTCTCAACTAATTAAAGGGGTCTCCTCAAACGTTAGGTGACATGCAGCATTCTAAAAACTAATTAAAGGGACTAAAAAAATTAAATCCAACAATCCAAGCAAGCAGAAATTAACAAGAAAATTATTAAATTAAATTTGTTACAGATTGGAGAAACCCTAACCGGAGCGAGAGGATTCGTTTGGGAACTTGTCGACGTATGAATCGACGCCGACGATGCAAAGGGAGTGGTGACAGTTCTGGCAGACCCATTTAGGGAGATTCGGATCGACCGGGAAACTCCGACCTTTATCGGGTATCTCTTCTTTATTCATTTAGTTATTCGAATTTTATGCAGAGGAGATTTTCGGGTCTCTTGCTTCTACGGTTGAGCCGTTGAGCTCTGAAGAAAGAAATCATAACAGTTTTATGACTTGCTTGTTTCGTGATTAAAACGACCAAATAAAAAGGACTACCCATACCCGGTGGAGTCGAGATGGTCCGGATCTGAACCCGATTATTTGATTTATCATAGTCTTTTAAATCCAAACCTTATTTATATATCATTGATAAAAAAAATGTCAACGAAGGCTTTTTATTTTTTAATTTGCAATTTAATATAATGTTTGGAAAGTCATATGATTTAGTAAAATAGAAAATTTTTTACCAGCGATAAATAGTAAAATTTTTATTCTAATAGTAGCATAAAATTGGCATGTTGCATAATTAATTATAAGTAAATGTTTATTTAGATAAAAAATTAAAATACTTAGCTAATTGATATAAATTATTCTACAGAAATTTTGACTAAAGAAGTAGGAAATTTTCAACATATTATCTTCAACAATAAAATCAAACTGAGAAAGATTTTTTTTATAAAGTTTAAACAAATAAATAAAATTTAAAATGGTAAAAAGAGATTAACAGAAAAAAGGAGAAAATATTATTAAAGCAGCAACCCGAAAAATTGACCCGGATAGCCATGGAGAATGAGTGTACAATAGCGGGACCCGCAAACGGCAATTCACCGCCATTTCCCAAAATAACCCGATTAAAAAATTGATTAATCGGGAAATTGCAGGGGTTCTTTATAATCAGGACCCGAACCCTAGTTTCCTCGTTGTCCCCTGATTCCGAAAATTCCCTTCAAACAGGACCCGAAAAATTTGAAATCTCCAAGCTCAAACATGACAGTTATGGTAGATCATCAAATCAATGGAGAAAACAACAACAAGAACCCAAGGCAATTACAGCTCTTCGTTAAACTTCTCAATGGCGAAACCTTATCGCTCCAATTCCCGACCCCACAAGTACAAGTCGGTTCCGTCAAGCACCGAATTCACCAAATTACCAAAATTCCAATCAACTTCCAGCGCCTGATTCGCGGCCATCAACTCAAGGACGATGCGGTGATATCCCACTCCAACGCCACCCTCAACCTATCCCTCCGTCTTCTTGGTGGCAAAGGAGGTTTCGGATCGCTGCTACGTGGCGCAGCCACAAAGGCCGGGCAAAAAAAGACGAGCAATTTCGAGGCGTGTCGGGACATGAGCGGAAGGAGGCTGAGGCATGTGAATGCAGAGAAGAGGTTGGAGGAGTGGAAGGCAGAGGCGGAGAATAGGAAGTTGGAGAAGATTGCGGAGGAGTTTATGAAGAAGAAGGCAAAAACTGGGAAAAAAGGGGTTGGAGATGGTGAGGCCGAGAAGTACGTCGCAAAATACAGGGAGCAGTCAGCGAGGTGCGTGGCGGTGGTTGAAGAGTCTGTTAGGGCAGCGTGCCGGAACCAAAAGCGGAAGGCTGTGCTAGGAGGAACTGACCCCAAAAGATTGAAAATTTGGTATGTTTTTGAGATCATTTAATTTGTTTGTTATGTTAAGATTGGTGTTAATATTTGGAATGTTTATTTCTTTTTGTTTGCTTATTTTGAATAGGATGGGAAAGAGGAAATTGAATGAGAGTGATAGTGATGATAGCAGCGAGGATGAGGATGATGAGGAAAATGAGAAATCTGTAGTTTTGAACAATGGGAATCATTCAGATTCTAGTAAGGGAACTGAGGGGAGTTCTGATTCAGTTGCTGGGGGAAGACATGATGGAGATTTTTCCGGTGGAGTCTCAAGTGAGAGTGGTTCTGAGGAAGAGAAAGAGATTGTCCTGCAGCGAAGCTCGGTATCTGGCGGCCAAGATGTTCCCAATGTAGTTAACAGCATGGTTGAAGTTGAACCAGAGGTTTATGAAGAGAAGACAGCACAGTGTGCAAATGTGGCCTGCACGGAGGCAGATGTGATTGCTGGAAGTGACGCTGTTCAACCTGAGATGCAGGAACATAATGGAACTAAAACTGAAGATCAGGAGGAAATAGTTAGTCAGCGTCTCAGTGTTCCAGTTTCAGTAAATGGAGGAGTTGAGAGCAAACTGATTGATGAAGTTAATTGTTTATCTAATGCGAAATCAGAAGTTCATGAAGAAACAGTAGTTTCAGGTACTAATGTGGCAGAACCAGAAAAGCCATTGAACTTTGATGACTTCAATTCTCCGGAAGAGATGCAGGTATTTTTGGCTCCACACTTGAAGTTCTTTTCCTGTTTCCTCTTTGTGTGTGGGCTTAGTTCATTTTTGCCCTTCCTTCTTCATTCCTTTCTAGTTTATTAGACAGCGAATTTTGCTAACCTTTGATAATCATTTTATCATTTATGATTTTGGGACTTAAGCACCATTAAAGGTTGTAGATATAGATGATTTTAAGGAAAGTGTTTAGTAGCTAAATAATATGTAAAACTCTTTTGCTTTCTGTGCACTATAGCCCTTTGTACTCTCTCTCTTTAACATAGGTCAATAGCATTAACTCATCTAAAAAGAGGTTAAAAAAGTTGCAACTACTAGCCAACTTTATGATTGCCTACATGGATGAGATAGGATATTTCAGCAATCTGTAGCCTGTTGTTGCAATTCTATTGAATGCTTTTTTCTAGTCCAAGCTTAAATCTAGCCATGGTTCTTTGATGTTATTTAGGCTTGATCGTTGTGTGCTTTGTTAAAAAATAAACGCACCATACAAACCAGTATACTGAAGAAAAGATATCAGGAAGTGAATTTGAAACTGGCATAGAAATTAAGTTGTCATAATGATGCTGTTGTTCTTAATAGTGCTTACTGTCATTGCTGTTTCAGCACTAACAATTTTATCATTTCTATAGGTTCTTGGATTGGAGAGGTTGAAATCTGAACTGCAGGCACGAGGGCTAAAATGTGGGGGTACTTTGCAAGAGCGAGCTGCCCGGCTTTTCCTGCTAAAATCCATTCCTTTGGATAAGCTTCCAAAGAAGTTGCTTGCAAAGAAATGAAAACCTACCTAGTAGACTTCATCTGACCTCGTAGTATCATGGAGGAGTCCTTTTTGTCAAATTATGAAATGTGTATATTTTTTAACTTCGTTCTGTCCTGTTTAAAAATGTATGACATGGTACTTGTATGCTGAAATCCTGTTACTTAAGGAAATCTGGACAGTCTTTTTGCTCTTATAATAAAATGGAGCAAGAAATAGTTACTAATTTAAACATGCCTTGCCTAAACTAAAAATTGATATTTGTGGTATGATGATGTTCATGATTTATGTTATAAAAAACCCATTCGTTTTATTCTCATTTGTCCTTTTGATAAAACGGGGTATTTGAGGATTTTTTTGTCTTAGTCATTGCTTCATAAGCTGATTTAATCATGTTTTAATGGAAAAAATTTGCACATTGCAAGCTTCTTTGACTCTTATGAAGGTATAAAGAATAAGAGGGATGCCTAGTGTAATCCCATACAAGAAGTGAAAAAAAAATTGTAATATATCAAACAATGCGAGAATGTGTGCTAGCATGTACTGGGAACGGAGAGAATCGGCACACCGGGCATGTACTGTTCATTCGGAGCCACTCATCTATGCACTCTGCATGGAAGCAGTGATTGCATTCTGGTATGCACCTGATTGTATCTTTGCTAAGGTATTCAGACAAGCAAATGGGGCAAGTGCTGTCATTTGGGCCAGGGAGTCTCCGGCTCTCACCTAGCACCAACTTTTGATAGGATTCGATTGTGGACTCGTCCAGCCCTGTCACGGCGAGCGTGGGTTGTGATGTCACCGCAGAATGTCCGGTGTTCTGCTGTGTGGAATTGCCCCTGTTGCGACGGCGACTGTCGAGGCAGCACGCAAAGACGGCGATTCCTATTGCGCATGAGAGTGCTGGTACAGCAATTGACAAGCAGATAATCCTGAAAACTTGAAGACCATTTCCCGATCTGCCTGAAATAGGAGATCATAAGAAAAATTTTAATAACACGAGTTGCTATTCTGATGCTTAACTGAAATAGGAATCACTTCATTCCACTTATCGGCTTTAACAAAAAAATCATATATTTTTACGAGTTCGATTATCTTGTGGAGTAAAATAGAAGCTACCCAAGCCTCCTCAAGAATTAAATTTCTAATAGAGTTCCTGTTTAGACTATGCTCTTCTTGTTTCTCCCCCATCGCTCCCAACCATGGTGGATCAATGTTATTCTCGACAACATTTTAACTTATTACCATATAAACTCCTTGGGATACGCCACGCTGTTCACACTTAAAATGACCCAGTTCCCAAAAATTTAATACCCATGGGAGATTTAATTAGTGGCCATTTGCTGAAGCTCTTTCCATTTCTTTTTTTAATAAATCCAAGGGATCTTGGGAACCTGATAAGCTTTCTACGAAGGGAAATGCGTTTGATAGAAGTGGAAGGTGGGGATGACCGCAGAAGCAGAATCAAGGAGCTACTGACTTTGGCTTTTACAAAAGAATAATAGAGATTTGCTAATTTAATACACATAACACACCACCTGGTTTGAACCGGAATTATACGGGAGAACTGACGTCTTAGTTCTTGTATCTTACGTTTTTCATTTCTAGTTGACATTGCAATAGTGGGTCATGGCTTATAATGTAACAACAATAACTAAATATATAAGTCCGTCATCTTTAGTTAATGTCAATAACACTGAAAACCCACTAGATTCGTAGATGTCACTCATTCATCATTATTTTTATTTGTTTACTCCAAAATAATTCATTCTTGGTTTGGTGATTGGCCCATACTTTTTTTCACAAACTTTGCCAACCCCTCGGCTTCCGTCCCCAGTTCTCTTAACCCATTTTTTTTCAAAAGATTATCCTGAGTTTCCTGACCCAGTCAATGAGTTATTGAGTCATCCTAGCCTAAGGGTGAAGTTTGGGGTTAAACAAGATACGTGATGTTAAAAATGGATATGCAAAATGATGATCAAGATTCAAGAAAGATAGATCCTTACCTGATTTAGGGAGATGGAAACAGTCAACTTCTTCACTACCGATGCTCTTGAAGCCGCAGATGCCGCCTTCTGACTCACAATCTCCGCATTGAGGTGCAGACCATGTTAGCTCAATGTCTTCATCAAGCTCGGATGACAATGCTTCATCAGACTGAGCTGGCCATGAAACAGGAATTCGCAATGTAGTGATTATCTGGCATGATTCAGCCATCGAATTCGCCAGACTCACGGAAGAAGTGGCCAAGACGGAGTTCGTTGAATTGCTTAGGCAATCAATGGTGGTGAAGCGAGACTTTGTGACTTGAGTTGGGCAGCTGAGGAAGGTGTAGTTCTGATGAAAAGGAGCAACGAAGGGAGAACCTGAAAGATTGAAGCTGAGAAGTCGCTTGGGAAGGCAATTATCAGGGTCATAAAGATATATCTGTTGGTTGAGATAATTGATGTCGCGAACAAAAAATTCTCCAGAATAAGGAAGTTTTAGGACAATCGTACTCTGACTCTTGCATCCAAGGTTGAAACCAGGATATCCACAGTATTCAGGCTGCTTGCTTTCTAGTCGGAAAGGGAATCGGATAAGAATTTCATTATTGCCGCAGTCTGTCAGGGAACAATGTTGTGCTGCATATACGAGAGGAAAGAGGAAGGAGAAAAAGATGAGGATATCCATGTTCAAAAAGACCGAAGCCAGGGATGGGCATGTCTCAGGGGAAAAAGGGAGCAGTCCATTTCAAGACTCCATTAAACTATTAAACTACAATAGAAAGTCAACTATTAAATAAAAGTTCTCTAGCTTGTATGAGAGAAAAATTCCAAGTCGACATCGCCAAAGGCTGTCTGCTTATGTGTCATTAATTACTGGGGAGTCTGTAAACAAAGGCACACCAACCCTGAACACCCCATGCAAATGTTTACTTCTACTACTTGTTTTTCTAGCGCATAGAAAGGCAGAAGTGAGAATTTCTTAATGACTGAACTTAGAATTACCATGTGCAAATGCAGCATAATTCTAAAACATGCTTGTTCCAAAGGCAAAAGAAAAAAAGACTCAATTTCATGGCCTAGAAGAAACGAAATATAGACTCTTCAGTCTGAGATGATCTAGGGAAACTTTACCGGTTCCCTTTCTTAAGTTTCCATAGACATGGCTAAATTGAAAAATTAAACTAATATGACCTAACCGATCGTGGTGATTGATAGGCTTAGGCCCATCCCACTACAGAAGTAAACTGGAAAACTGGCGCTGTTGGCGGCAAGCGTGTTTCCTGGTTTGAGTGGCCCTAAATCCTCTGTTTTCGGCTCCTCTAGTTTCTGTTTTACTCACTTTTTAAGTTTCCTTTTTGAGCTGTTGTTTCTCTGGTTCTTGCTCCGGTACCCAAAGAGAATAAAAAAACTAGCGCACTGTGCCATGCATCCACCCACACACACTTAAGTTCAGACAAGTTTATGCGTATTTCTGACAATGGTTTGCATTTTTACAGGCATATGTTTGTCCTAATCTGTGACCTGTCATTTTGATGCCGAGCGGAAAAAGTAGTCTACGTGGGGGGATACCAATTTTCATATGTTTTGAGTTCTTCTTTCCTATTCCAAGGGAACAGTTAGAAGTAAGAACAAATCAATTTGATTGATGAGAAATTTTCGAAAGGAGTCACAACGGCCTTGGAACAGAACTACTGCAATGACGTGTGGGGGTTCAACCAGTATCATAGAAGCTGCTGAGAGATTCTAATCGAAACAATTTCTCCCTCAGCTCCTGCTCTCATGGTATGGTACTTTATTAGAATTCCTGCTTAGAAAAAGAAAGAAAACTGAGCAAATCACAACAAATTAATTAATTGGAAAAGAAATATTTTCCAATCATTCTTGTCATTCATAGTTGAGATCCACAGTGAATAGCTCCAAACTATGCCAGCTACACCCAATCAGTCCATGTAATTCGCAAATTTCCTTTTAATTTTTTTTTTCACAAGATTTGCAGATTGTGAACTTGTTACCTTGATTTTCTTGTAAATTGGTGTTGACCGCAACTGCATGAAGAGTAATTATAGCTTTTGGTTGAAAGTCATTCGCTCGTCCTATCCATGACTTGTAATTGAAGACCCCTGCCAGTTCGTTGGCAAACAAATTCAGATCGTTCAGCATCTTTTCCAGTAAGAGGAGTAAACCAATCTCACTTAACTCAGAGAAGCTTTTACAGCCACCTATTTAGGATCAGAAAAGTGAAGGCTTTCTCATGCTTAGCTAGCTCCATGTAGAGCTTTATTTAAGTAATGGAGTAATTACTGTCTTCTAGTACTGTTTGACATTTGATGCAGGAAATTGAGATGATAAGTGACAGGAAGATGCTCTAGCAGTAAATCTGGTTGGTTGAACCCCCCATAAATAGGAAGGTCAGTATTCTAAATCAGTAATATAACCAATTAATTAAGAATTGCTAATGATGAATGCAACTTTCATTTTAAAGGACAGTTGGAAGTTGTGGATTATTGATTAAGAGGACTATTCAAGGTTTAGTTATGCAAGCAAGCAAGCAATAAGAGGACAATCCTTTATCCTTATACTAGATGAAATTGAAGAAACAAGGACTATTCTCTCTCCAACTTATTATAGAATTTGTTGAATGGTTAAATAAAACTGAAATATTATAGCACCGAAAAGCTGCCCCAATCCCATCCTATACAGTAAGTTCAGTTATCAATTTTCAATTAAATCTTAGCAGTCTGTTGGAGCACACATGTCAGCTTGGTGGAACAAAGAGGTTTCATACCTAATCTTACCTAATTCACTAAGCAAAGCTCAGTTAATAAACGTTTCTGGCTTGATCATGAATGGATCGGGCAGCCACCAAAGCATTTTCATCTCAATAATTGTTGACTGATTCTATCCACAGGGGCTAAGTAATGTAAATGCATTCTTGAAAAGAAGACAATGACAGAATGAGTAAACTTCAGGTGGAGAATCAAATTTTACCCGCTGCTGTCTTGCTTGTGAGGTATTTGAAGTCAAAAATGGACCCATAAGCTCCTGGTACTCCTTTTTTGACTTCATGAGATCCAACAAGCTCATAGTCCCAACTTCCATCCTGGTACCCCTGACTAAGGAACAGCTCAATGTGCCTGGCATCCAACATCTGCATTGTCCCTACATAAAAACAATCAAGTTTTTTCCTTCACTTCTGTATTCCTTTCTATCAAAAATTTGAGAACCGTTTTCATGTGTGTGGTACAGTTTAGAGCCTAAACTCATGCTCTGCAGATTTCTCAACCTGCCTTCAAATAAAATTTGGCATTATATAAACCAAACCAGTAATTTATGTTTTAGCAGGATTGCATCCGCCTTTTTTTTTTTTTGGGCTTTACGTCATCCAGTGTAAAGCATGGTCCTGACAAACACAAGGATATCCAGTCTGTTGATTAATTAGCTCACCGTTGTTAAGGTGGCAAATATGATCAAAAACCGAGCGTAGTTGAGATCAAAAGAAAATGAGACAACGGAGATAAACTGTGAAGATCAAGATTTCTAAGCCTTGACTTGCATGTTCATAGTCTACTATCAAGAATCTCATCTACTTAATAAGAGGAACACAATCTCTCACTGTGCACTTTAATGGGCAGTAAGTCATTTCATTGCTCACCTTCACATTTTTCTTGGTCACACACGGGGCAGCGAACAAGCTGTAGATCTGAAGGCAACAACCATGTTGAAGCACAAACTTAGTTAAGAGTTTTGACCACAACTTGCATAAGAACATGAACCCATATTGCAAAAGAAAAATGCCAGGAGTAAATTTGCCCCATTTTTAACAATACCAGCTATCCAGATTCCTGTCTTGACTTTCCTTAACAGGCATGTCCCGCACGACTGCAACATATCATCTATGATTTTTTGTTTTGGGATTTTCACAGGTGCACTCAGCCTTTCGCTCAGAAATGCTACTTCTGATTCGAAAGAAAATGCCCCAATGCGCATCCAGTCTGATTACTCCCCAAGAAAAACAAAATTCAGTCAATAGCAAATTGTCCTTATACTAAGACCACCAGCTCATAATTTCAGATTCTAGCCATAGATTAATCCAATGCATCCAACAAAATCTACAATTAATGGTGCTAGACTTTGAACTTCAAACTATTAACAAGCCAATGGATTTGATAAAGAGATCTAACCAATATGTTTCTCCTGCTGGCGGAACATGTAAGAGTGACTCCCATCTGCAAAACCATGTCAATCAGGCAGCTATGTTTAGCAGTGGAATTAAATATTAAACAGTTAAGGTACACGTATATATAAAGGGATTTGATGGTTACCAACAGCTGAAGCGTAGAGCTTGGCCCAACTGAATGCCACGTGGCCAGGATCAGGAACCTGAAGATCACGCAGGCATGCGAACTTCCATATACAGTCTTGCATGATGACGTTGTTGAGCCATTTACTCGCCACTGCCAGCATCACCAACGATCTTCCATCCAAAAACCTCGCTATGTATGTCCACATATCCTGCTCGTACCTTTTTTAGTATATGAAAGATATAGATTAATTTAACCATATATACAAAAATTTAACAATTAATTACTGTTTGGTTGCTGAGAAAAAAATAAGAACAAAAAAACTGAATCAACATGTGAACTTGACTCGACGGGCCGATCAATTTCTCGAAAATTAATTCATGAGAATTTTAATTTTTTTCTGAATATTTAAGAGTAATCGTTTATTGTTTTCAGCAAAAACCAATAAGTAGAAACTAGATTCGTTTCAATAATCAACCTCTGTTCTAACAAATTATTAAGTAACAGAATTAACTGAAAGGAAATCAATATCAACGATGTCTTTGGTAACTTAAAAAATTTAACGGAATAATAGAGAGTGAACCTTCAATGTTAACCTTTATAAAAAAGAATCAGAAACCTTAGAGCATTATGGAAATTTGAAGATTTTCAGAGCTTTAAAAAGTCAGTGAATATTTCAGAGTCCACCTTTTCTCTGATGACGATTAAATGAACTGAATTAACCATTATGAAATTAGGTCAATTCAAATTCCACCAGTTCTCAGCTAACAAGCAGATTTAGACGATTAAATGAACTCGATTGACCATTATGAAATTAGTTCAACCTATTCCAAAACAGAGACAGATTGCATTCGAGGAGAAAAGTGCATTTCGAGTGCCAAAATTTCTAGAACTAACACTGAATCGTCTCTGAAGAGCAGAGACTTATTTAAACTTCTAGATCAATTCTTCATGGAGACCTTTTCTTTAGGATAAAAAAATCAACAGATATGAGATTTTTATTTTCTTTCTTTTTTTCTTTTTTTGAAAAAACAGCGTCGATACATGAAGAAGCGCGAACCTTCGATGTTGGATGAATGCGAAGAACTATCATCAGTGACAAAAAAGCTTTATCATCAAATTGTTTTAGCTGAATCGGCTAAACCTCAAAGCAGTTTAAACTTAAAAATCCTTTTGATCGCTCATTTCATCAGATTCAACTTTCATAGTTTGTTATTTTACATGATCAAACTAGTCGAACCAGCTCCAAATTTCAATGGAATAAAAAAAAGATTGAAAGAATCAAAATGATCAAGCTCCAAATCGTCAGAGAGAGAAAGAGAGAGAGAGATTACCAACTGAAGGAAGAGCGATCAGTGCAACGAGGAGATGTGCAACTGCAAATTCCCTTCGTTCTCTTGAATCGCTTCCTCATTCTCTCTTTTCTTTTGTTTCTTCGTGAATCTGAGAAGAATTTCGAATTCAAATATTTTTCTAAGAGGCCTTCAATCTTGGGGTATATATATATATATATAAGCGACGCGCGAAATCCTCATATTTAAACATAATTCAAAAAAGAAAATAAAAAATGAAACGGGTTCACTTACAGATCTGAATCCTGGATCGGTCTAAGTTAATGGATCTCAAAATGGGCCTTGTTAAAATATTTTTTACCTGGTTCCTTACTCGGGCCTTGAAACATATTGGCTAAGACCTAAAGCCCTGCGTAACATTTGATATGAAAAAAGTAAAAATATTTTTTATAATATGTAAAATTATATTATAATATTTTTTTATAACAAATCACTATAATATAAAATTATAATACAATCACATTAAAGTCAATAGATGTAATGTAATTGAAGTCTAAAACTAATGCAATCAGATTATATTGTATTCTATGATTCATGGTTTTTTATATTCATTTTGTCATTTTTTGTTTTGTAGAGGATTCAGCTTCAATTTGTTTGTCAACACTTATAACAATTGTAAGTCATTTCCTTTATAGGTTTTTTTTAACATTATATATCATGAATGAGGAGATTGTTGTTTACATGTTTTAGGGATTTTTAGATTCAAATATATAGTTGCTGGAACTTATTTCTTAGTTCCCCTGCTTGAAATTATAATTTTGATTGAAGTTGTTATCACCTTTCAATACTACAATCTTCTAATATTTTTGTTCAATTCCCTTCCATTGGAAAACCATGAGAATTTTTTTTTTTTTTTTGCTCTATGAAAACCCCGTAAGATATTAACGTAAACCAATAAAAATTTACATTAGTTGTGTTGTATCTCAAGGTGATAGCATTGTTTTTTTGGCTTTAACTGCTTGAGGAAAATTAAATAACTCGTGGAGTTGTTATTTACTTTTTTCAGTATATCCATGGATAATTACTTTCTTCAAATTTCTATGCATAATTAGTGACTTAATGGAGATTTCACAAAAGTGTTAACTTATTTATTTTATTTCCCCTGGGACAATGTATGCTCGCCATGAATTATGATGCAAATGCTTATAAAGGTGTAAATAATTGTTTATTAGCTATTTTACATAATATGATTTGTAAACTTTTAATTTGATATGATACTATACTATGGTGCATCTAGAGGATTCTTCTTTTTGATACATTATTTCTTACTTATATTAAGGAATTAAACAAGTTACATTCAAACCATCAGTTTATGGATAATTGCCACTATTCTCATACTTATAAAAGTTTAAAAGCCTAATAGTTAGTCCAATGAAACTAATGTATAAGTTTAGTTGTTGTTTAATTGTGTAATATAGTATTTGTAATTATTTGTTGCAGTGGACTTTCATCCTTTTATTTTCTAGAACAAAAGAATATACGTTGTTCTTATGTAGTGTAGGATTCTTGCTTATTTAATTTTAAGGACCATTATATGCTATTTTCAATATTTTAAGGTGCTTACATCTCTTCTGTAGAATGAAAAGAATTGATTTCTAATATTACCCTGCTTTATTAGCCTATGACTTCTCTCTTTTGTAGATTCTATACTATTATGAACAAAATGTACAGTGAATTATTCTAATTTTGAGGAAGTGCAACAGAAGAACTGTGCAAAACCCAGCAAATCATTTGTTTAGGTTTGTCATAGAATAATGCTAATTTTGTTTCTAAGGAAAAACTTTTTGTTAGCTAGATGAGAATGAATGTACAAAATTATAAACAATCATGGAATTGTTTTCCCAAAACAAGCAGTCAGAGAACTTTTCCAAAAACAAACATTGTTGAAACAATCCACCACCACCAAAAGAAAAGAATCACCAACCAAGAAATACAAAACCAAGTAAGCTTAGAGTATTTTAGTAAGTTTCCTTTGTTTTGCCTTCTATTTTTGGTTTTTCTCTAGATTGTTTTTTCATGATGGCATAGATGAAAATGTGCTAGTTATTCTTGTTGATGGATAGGTAGTCTGTATCAATGTTTGATCATGCACTGAGAAAGAATTTTGTTGATGCTTTGGTCTACAACTCTATACAAGTCCTCTTTCGTTTGGTCTACAATTTTGTTTTTCAATCCCTGATTGCTTCTGTTTCTTTGTTAGGAGCTGGCTTTGTCTTTTGTTTGACCTTTAGGAATACTAAGGTGATATATTTTGTTGAAAAGAGTCAATGTATAAACCATTATTATAGTAGTTGGGTTATAGGGGTTCAATCTCGATGTGAAGTCCAGATAATAATGTTATTATCTTAATTTATTAGTAAATGCCTTTCCTTTAATAATACTCTACTATACCATTTTTCTAATATAATACAATTATTATAACATGTATTATTATATCCATATGCAACAACGCGCACACATGGATACATTTCTAATATATAAAATGGCGTAAGCCTCACATTGTAAGGTAAGATGGTAAAAGTGCAACAATATCTATACAATAAAAGCCACCAAGAGCTGGTAAATTTACATATTATTCGTAAAGAATTACAAAAAAATGAGGTTATGGGGAAAAAAAAGGAAAGAATTACAAGCTCAATGTGTGGCAAACACTGTGATATTCCTCGTCTGTTACGGTTCTGATTTTATCAAATATGTCAATGGGGAGAGGTTCCCCATGTTCGGAGCTCTTTAATGCTTCTTCTGTAGGTAAACAGGAATATAGACCTTAATTCATAAACTTCCGGCAGTTGGGAGCTTTACATAGGCAAGGAACTTTTAGTTCATGCTCATCGGGATCAAACAAATAATCATACCTGCCAGACAAATCATACGTAAATGATATTATATCATCCAAATTTGCAATTGGAGTATTGATAAATGAATGCAGACTAGCTTGAATATACAAGGACAAAAACAAAGAGTGAGAAAAGAGGGATCCACAAATCTTACGTTAGCTCATCACCAGCAGACACATCAGTCTTAGCAATAAGAACTATCCGACTCTCCTCATCACTGACACTCATGATCCGTGCATAGCAATTAGGCATGCACTGCAAAAGGGATGTGACATTTTCAGCAAAAAAAGAGAACTCATAATGCTACAGAAGTAATAATAAGGACTTCCTCTTCTGTTTTTCTTTTGGTGGGAAAGAAAAGAGGGAGGGAGCATCAATCCGATTATAAGGCCATACCGAATGGTTGATTAAGCGTGCAATATTCCCCTTGTTGGTGGCATCAATCACTACTTCCTCACTGATCTTGAACAGCTGCATTACATGTTGAAGAACCATTAAAAACCAGCAACCAAACAAAATTAGCAGGCAGCAGCAGCAACAATTAAAAATGGGCATATCCAGAAAGCAAGGGTCTTTCAAACATGATTAATTACAGACAAACAAGGAGGCTCTAAGACTCCCACATGTGTCAGTTGAGTACAGAAAATGTAGAAAGTTCAGCCATTTTATAAATGCTTTAAAACATATACATGATCACAAAGATGATAGAGACATTTATTTTAACCTACATTCGGTTCAGTATCTGATGGTTGGCTGAAAGTGAAACTATGGCATGCAATCTTTTTCTGGACTTTCAGCAAATTATACAATCTACATAAACATATCAAGGTGGTCTTCAAAAAGTCTAGTAACATTTTCCAAATCAAATTAAATGCTAAGACTAACTACTAATCAAGTGGGTACTTCAGCATAATCAAACCTTGAAAGTTCATGAAACCAAGAAAATATTGGCATTGGCTTATCAATTCAATGCTTTTTGTAGTACTTGCATAAGCCACCTCAAGATCATGTGCAGGACTATTCTTCATGATAATTCATTAGTATGATAAATTTTATGTCTATAAACTAAAAATCTAGACCATAAAGATAGTCAAATCTAACCTGTTTGAATAACAGAGCAGCACATCCATAAATTAAACACAGAATTTCAAAAAAAACTTACATAGCAATCTTTTCCTTCAGAATGATACCGTGCCTCTCTAAGATCTGCAACACTACGCCTAACCTGCTCACCACGATACTCAATGACCTGAAGATAGACATGCTGACTATCAACACACCCCAAACATAATAATAGTTGCCTTGATGAAGTCCAACTTCAAACACAATCTACATAAATGATTTAAGAAATGCACAGAAACAGAGATAGCAGTACAAATAAAGTACCATTTCTCCTTCCTGAATGTTCCTACGTGCAAAGAGGCCCCATCCATGAATACCAGATTTGCCAAAACAAACTCGGTGATTCTCAGTTCTCTAAAGGCACAAACAGATGTAAGATTGAGTTAGAAAATATATCAATGAAGACATAACCATGGGGCATAATTAAGAATCATAGCTTACCTGTAACTGGAATAGTCGTTCTTTAAATGACGAGAAAACGGTAGAATCATCTACTTCCTGTAATAAGGCAATGGTTTTATAAAAATAGTAAATTATCTACCTCATTGACCAATATAAAAGGACCAAGAAGGAAAATTAAACGATTTATGTTCCAAATGAAAAACTTTTTTGTTCAAAAGATAGGAGATCTACTACATCAGGGACAGGAATAATACTTTATACGTGCTCAATGCACTTAATGCATCTAGAGTATGATGACTTGGCCCACTCAGTCGGTGAAATATTGGCTCCCCTTCAGCCCTCTGGCAAACAACAAGAGTAGTATAAGTAACATAATAACGATACCAATAATTGCATCATGTTAGCAGCTTACTTTATATGAAGCTAATGGTAACTAGTACCAGCAAACAACTTTCACTTTAGCTAAAAAAGCACACTTAATTGGCAAAATTAATCACATAAAATTAATGGGCTTTAACTTCATGAAGATAAAATATAGAAAGGTTTCAGGAAGTACAAAAATATAATCAGGAAAAATTGGCAAATATTAACAGAATATAAAAAATTAAATGACAGCACATCACATGTTCCCTGACATCTACCTTAAAATTTGATCTTCCAAAAACACGGCATCTTGCAGCAGAGTATGCATCAAACTCATTGGTCTCTGAAGATGGGGATCCAGGGAGCTCCACATTATTTGATGAAATTAACCTTGAACCTCTAAGACATTCATTTTCATTCTGAAGTACATTTCTGGCAGCAAAAACCCCTGAAGGAGTATGCATAACAACCACTGCATCTGGATTCGGGTTCCTGCATCAAAGACCAAAGTATAAGGATACAATCCAAACAATAAATATGATGCACACAGGAGAAGAAGGAAAAAAAGCATTCCCCTCCATTTGTTGAGAAACAAAAGGGAAGGAACATAATCCTTACCTGTGAACAGCACAATACACTAACTTTTTCGTCATTTGTATCCCATTCTTCTCTGAGCAGTGTAGCTGTAAATTTAACACGTAAGATAGCCACAAATATGAGTTAAGAACAAAAGAGCACGTTCTATAAAAGCACAAGCACTTAAAAAGTCAGTCATATGCATTTTAGCAACCATTTAAGTTCATATAACACTCTTCAACTTATAAATCTGGGATCAACATTTGCCATTAAGCCAAAAAAAAACACTTACTTCCATGCTATATCCTGCTCTTGATGCACACATAACATGAAAATAAGTTGCACACTTGCAACACTGGGTGCAGGAGCCATGAGTTTGCTTACAAATCACGCAACTCTGTCATCCACACAATTAAAGCACACTTAGATAAAAAGCACTCAAATGTTGTGATGTAATCATAATAGTATTAAAATGCATCGCAGAAAATGATGACATTTCCAGTCCTCACACTTACCAACAAAAATCTTAAAACTGAATTATCGTAAGATATAACAGTTTAAAAGGATCATTTAATTCAGAAGATACCTTCAAAAATGAACTTGATTGAATTTTAATGATTCCAACAGCAGGTTCCATCTTCTCATGATTCAAGAAACCAACTTCAGGCCGAAACCAGGCACATGTAACATGAACCCACAGTGACTCAACATCGGTTGGCTTCAGAGCACCCCCTGGAGAAGCAGATTTACATATTGTAAGAACAAACCAACTGCTCAAAGAAACGGTCAAACTCCACAAAAAGCATGCATTTTACAGGGAAAAGGTATCACGCCCTCTCAATATCAGGTGTTTCACAAGCTCTACAAACCCCATAACATTCTTGGATGTCCCAAAATGTTCAGAGTAACACTTAACCCCCGACCACCACCCCCCCCCCCCCCTTTTTTTTCCTTGGATAGCTATAATAGTGCCTTAAAAGATATTCCCAATGTACATATATAATCTCAACAAGAAGTGAAAGCTAATTTTAGATAACATGCCTTTTACAGGGCAAAGGAACACTCTCTCTCTCAATATCAGTGTGTTTCACAAGCTCTACAAACCCAAGTCAAATCTTGAAAATTGCTTCCCCCATGACATTCTTGGATGTCCCAAAATTTCAGAAACCACAACCACCCCCCCGCCCACCTCTTAATTTCCCGGGATAGCTACAATAGTGTCTTCAAAGATCTTCACGACATATATATATATAATCTCAACAAAGAATGAAAAGGAAGAGTGAAAACTAATTTTAGATGACATGCCTTTTACAGGGCAGAGGCAACACTCCCTCACAATATCAGGTGTTTCACAAGCTCTACAAACCCAAGAAGTTAAATCTTGAACATTGCTTGCCCCATAACATTCTTGGTGAACAGCTATTTGACACCTGAAAACAGAAAATTTTCTTTCCAATAAATCTGCCAAACATAAAATGGTAGCCAAAGTCAACTTAAAAATTGATTCATACTATACCTGTTGCAGATAATAATTTTGTTATAGTCCCAGTCTTCAACCCATCGACATATGGCACATCTTTCTGTTGTCCATTTTGCATCAACAGGCTTATATTTTTCTATTACAATGAAAGTAATAGATAACTAAGTTCAAGCTTTTAAAGATTGATTAACTTCTGCAACTTAAAACAAAAGGAAGGGATCAAAGAACTTCAACAAATAAAGTCCTATTGAAATAATATTTTACCTTGCAAAAAACCCATCAACTTCTGCTTATCTAACTTCATAGTATTTACACCAAAGGCATTATATTCAACAATCTGCACACAAGAACCATACATACATAATGCATGTGAGAATATATTATAACAAACAAGAAAGTAATGGGATTATTTTGGTGTTTCTGGGAGGTTGAGGGTTGGGGGACCTTGAGCTATAACAATCAGAAAGCAGCAATAATTTAGTATCTTTGCATCAGTTATATAGGATGCACACAGAAGTTAGCCTTAATAACATTATCTGAAAGGATTATAAGCTTAAGTTACATGTAAGGACTACACAATAACAAGTTACTACTACTATGGCCAAGCCAGATGTGTCTGCTCAAAGGAGAGAAAAAAAATGTATTACATAGGATTCAAGAACATTAAAGAACAGCCATGAAAAATAACATGAAAGAGCACGTTCTTGCTCTAATAATCCTATAAATTACCAAAAAAAAGGTTTTGAAGCAAGTTAAACTATAAATCAAGCAAAAGAACAAAGCCATGCTTCAAGAATCAAAAAAGAAGAACAAGTAAAAGAACAAACCCATTTTTCCAGAGGTATCATTGTGTCCTTGACTTTCACACTGTACTTCCATTTTTTGGCTCTACAGCCTGTATGCCGTTCCCACTCGCTAAGCGTATACTTCTTTGACCCACATGCCCCGCACTCACATAGAACTCTAGAATGTGACGAAAATCTTTTTGTAAGAACAAATTATAGTAGATAGAAGTACAGTAAAGAACAACCTACATTAACGTATTCCAAGTATTTTAGTAGGTTTTGAGGACTTACAAATGAAGTTTTGGAATATATGTTCCTTCCATGCCATTGCAGACTACAGTTAGCTTGTCAGGAGGAACACCACTTTCCCCCCCTTTTTCCGTAGATCTGTTTCAGTGTTTTATCACATTATTAAGTCTAATGCTTTAGAAATGAATCTAGAGGATTCCCTTAAGACAAATGTGTAAACTAACATGGAACTGTAAAGAGGAGGAACACGGATTGAACCAACATACTTGATTTTTGGCTCTCTTTTCACTAAGAATGATTCGGGCTTGAACTTTGATTTACATTCAGGGCAGTAGTAATCCGTATGCTCCAGATCCTTCAAACAGTGAACAAGTTAGTCCTAATTACTTAGGTAAAAGATAACATAAGAGGGGAACAAAAACATAAAACAGGCAAGTTGAAAATCATAAGCACACCTTGAAAAGTTTACTGGTAATGTTGTCACATTCCGCATGTACCCACACATTACAACCATCACAACAGACCTAATTCAGTTAAACCAACAATCTCAAATTCTGCAACTGTTTTATCGATGAAAATAGTTACAAAATCTAAACTGCAGATATCTTACCCAATTGCCACCATCAGAATGGTGCCATATCTTCTTGCATATGCCACAATACTGCTTTGATTTCCGCAGCTGTAATGGAAACATGAACACCATTTTAAGAAACTAAAATTTTATTGGCGTTCAGATTCAAACATACCTACATCCTCCAAAGTAAGAATTTTTAATCAACCTTAGCACAATGTTTGCACAAAAGCTCAGCCTCATATGCAGATTTCTTCATTTTCTTCATAGTTTTCAATGGGACAACTGAGCCACAGCTGTCGCAAGGCCTTGCATCCTGCAGAAATCAACAGGGAATTCTTACAACTTAACTACTTTGTGAGCCTTATAAGCCAAA